ATATCATTGTTTTGTATTTGTAACTAACACAACAGAAGACAAATTTGTTTTTTCAACTTGTATGTACCAATTCATCATTTTGACTCAAACCATAAAATGTATTGACAAGCCTGAGACACTCGAGCCAGACCTGAGTCAAGCGGTATTTGGAAATAATTGTTTGTTTTAATCTTCTTGGAGTACCAAATGAGATTGGTTTATACCTAATTTTTCATAAAGTTTAGACAATCACTTGAAAGCATTTTAAAATGTTTATTAAATGTGCCTTTAACAGATGTAGGATGCAGTAAAACCCACTCATATGGTACTCAACAGGTTGACACAAATACTGAGTACTTTCAAATACTAGTAAAACAGGCTGGAATATACTGTTATGTGACTTTTGACCAGAACACACATTCCAATTATACGTGTAATAAGAATGACTGCATAGTTTAAAATGAATGTGTTGTTGTTTACCATGAAACCAACAACTTCTGGTGTTGAATAAAATCCATACAGTATGTAAATTATTATTAAAGGTGGACCTAAACAGGCTTGTTTTCTGGATCACTAAATGTGCCTACCGGGCGCAGGGGCCAATGGGGTGTGAGCTGTGACCGTTAACATGGATAGTAGCAGAATCAGTTACAAAGAAACACAAAATACTATGCAAAAGTACAATTAAAGCATGGGAAAGCCTCCAAAAATGCAATTAAAGGCACAGAAAAATAACAGCAATAATAATAATAATAATTACGGAGAATTCCTAAAATTACAATAGGGCCTTGCACTGTCAGTGCTCGGGCCCTAAAAAGACACAAAACCATATATAAAATGACACAGATGCTAAACGCCTCAAAGAGGTGCATCACCACCACAAAAAGATGCAAAAGAAATTCATAGGCAACAGAGACACCAAATAACCACAGAAATGCAAAAGACAACCACAAAGTGACTCTAAATGACTTTAAAGAAACTCTTGCAGAGATGCAAAATAACTTAAAAGATTCAAATGAACTGACATTTTCCTATTTCGACACAAGAGAGCAGCATTTATCTTCATGTGGCAGAAACCCACAGACAAACTCTTACAGGCACAAGATCATTTGAAAATCTGTTGTGCTTCCCTGCACACCAGATGTTTTTTAAGGCGCCAAGTCTTGTGCCAAGTAATACACAATTTTATTATTTTCTCTCACACACATACATCCATAATGAAGATTTTACTGGTTTTCCTGCTGATACCGGCAGCCCACACTCAGAGTGAGATACTGCTTTGTTTTATTTGATTCTATAGTGCACTAACTAACATTTCTATACCTGCTATAGAGTTGGAATTGTTCTTTATATATTGTTGAATGAATTCACTCTGACAATCAGTGGGGTTCAGGCTGAGGATGCAGGAGATTACTACTGTATGGGAGAATACGTGGGACTGTACACACCGTGATATAGAGTCATACAAAAACCTCCACAGATTGCTGTGTTGCAGCTGTCACAGGAGATTCTGATATGCACCACTGCTCCCCTGAACATAGTCACCTAATACACAACCACAATTTACAGAGACTTCTGATAATTCATCCCCAGTGAAAGGGGAAGTGAAATTCAGATTTTCATGCGCCTGACATTTAGGTTGTGTTCCCTTTTACAGCACCAGATGTTCAATCATGCACCCAGTCTTCCTCACTCAGACAAAAGGCAGCTCTGATCAGAAATTAATGCAGAAGACATTCATTTCTCTTTTAAAACAGAATCTAAGTACATTTTGTGAAATAGGCCACTGTGTTGTACAATCTGATGTATAAGCCTACTATATTATACTGGATATTAAACAATAATTACTGTTTATCTACTCAGTGGTCTGGTTCCAGGGTTTGGTCTTGATAAAGTACATATATGTTAGTATCTCTAACCTATAATCTTCAATAATTATCAACAAGACTAAAGGTCTACAGTCGCTAGTGGCTGTGTGGGGCTCTACTTTGAGCTCAGTGCGAACATCAGCATGCTGACATGCTCACAGTGACAATGCAAAACATGATTCGTAGCTGAAAAGGGATTATTATAACAAAACATTTATCAGTCTATAGTGATTCATTCACAGATCTCCCAAAAAACTCAAAATACATTTTTTTGTTTTTCTGAGAAGTATGAACATGTAGACTATGATTTATGCCAGTAGGAGCTGAGGCCTCCAGCTAACACACTAAGCTGGTTTTATGTCCTTGCCTTTCTGCCACTGTCAGTATGTCTGTTTTTTCTAATTTACCTAATAAATGTAGTACCAGTTCATCAAAATGACAAAATATGAAAACAGGGAGGGAAATTTAAGGGAATAAAACAGTGTCAGTTCATATTAAGCTGTAAGTGTGGATTCATTTGCCAGCAGGGGGCGCCATACACCTATTAATTAGGTATGGATCGAGAAAGAGGTAAAAAAGAAGGATAAAAGTTTACAAAGAAGATAACAACATAAAAAACAAGAGTATAAAGTCAAAGTTTTTAGACGGACTTTCAGTGGCTGAATGATCCTTGAGATGAACTGTCTCTCCACCTCACCTCTGCTTTTTCTGTTTCACAAGAACAGGTGTGTGTTAGCCTTCCTGAATATGTTTTGCATGATTTTAAAGC